CACGGAGGTCGAGACAACCCTACTAACAGGGGCATTTGTTTGTTTTAGTAACTGTCCTGTCCATGGCTTCCCTTGCCCCTCAGGTGCTGTGTGAGTTGTATTTCCTCTATGAATTCTACACTAGAAAAAGTTATATTGGCTCAAACTGGGATAGGGAATAAGTAATGAACTCAGGAGCAGCATCAGCCCAGAGATCCCGGTCACTGGGCATCCAGTGATTGGGCCAAAAGTTAACTGGTCAGCACCTTACACCTATTAGAAAGGCTACTATAAAAAAGATTTTTGGAAAAGGCCAGGCACGGTAGCTTATGCCTGCAATCCCAGCACTTTTGGAAGCCGAGGAGGGAGGATCAGGAGATCAAGAGATCGAGACCATCCCGGCCAACATGGTAAAACCCCATCTCTACTAAAAATACAAAAATTAGCCGGGCGTGGTGGTGTGCACCTATAGTCCCAGCTACTCGGGAGACTGAGGCAGGAGAATTGCTTAAACCCGGCAGGTGGAGGTTGCTGTGAGCCAAGATCACACTATTGCACTCCAGCCTGGGTGAGAGAGCAACACATCATCTCAAAACAAACAAACAAACAAACAAACAACTAGTATTGCTGAGGATGTGAAATAATTGGGACCCTTGTCTGCCATTGGTGGGAATGTAAAATGGTCCAGCCACGGTGGAAAACAGTATGGCAGTTCCTCAAAAAATTAAACATAGAATTAAGCTAAGAAGCCACAATTCTACTTCTGGGTATATAACCCAAAGAGTTGAAAGCAGAACTCAAACAGATATTTGCATGTTCTTCTTCATGGCAGCATTATTCACGATAGAAGCAACTATCAACAGATGGAAGGATAAGCAAAATGTGGTATACCAGTAAACAGATTATTATTCAGACTTAAAAAGGAAAGATGTCCTGTCCCCTGCTGTCACATGGCTACACCTTGAGGACACAAGGTGTCCTTGTTTCACATATGCTAAGTGAAACAAGACAGTGACAAAATGATGGATATGATATTATGCTTATGTGAGGTCCCTAGAGTAGTCAAAATCATAGAGACAGGAAGTAGAAGGGTGACTGCCAGGGGCTGAGGGGGGAGAGGAACGAGGAGCTGGTGTTTCTTGGGGACAGAGTTTCAGTTTTAGAAGATGAAAAGAGTTCTGTGGATGGGTGATGGCAATGGTCTCACAACAATGTGAATATACTTAATGTCACTGAACTGTACACTAAAAAATAAGAAGGTAAATTTTAAGTTATGTGTATTTTACCACAATGAAAAAAGTTAATTGGTAGGTCACCTGGGACTGTGCTTTAAAGGAAATGCTTGATGGTTAGACAAATCTGGATGGTCCAGCTAACCTGACTCTACCACTTAGCAGTTATGAGACCTGGACAAGGGGCTCTACTCCTGAAGCCTCAGTCTCCTAATCTGAAAAATTAGAATATCTAATTTATAAAGGCTTCTGGAAGTTAAATGAAGTAGTAATGTCTGCCACATATACATAAAATTCTGAGTATAATATATAGCACATACATTCTAAATAATGACGACTCAATAAAAGCATATTTTATTGGTTTTGTTAGTGCCAATTATTATTATGATTAATACTATTAGGTTAATTCAAAAGCTAACATCAACCTACAGCAGCCTGCAGAAAGATTCCCTGCCAAATATCTGCTCATTTAAACCAGGAGCAAAAATCTATGATTCTGGACTTGAGTGAGCTTTCCTCATTTCTAAAACTCTGATGCTCATTTTATCCCCAAGAATGTGTTTAGATGACAGGACAATCAGAATTTGACATGTATAAATGCTTGGCATGCTAAAATAATGAAAGATATTTTCATCATTGTAAGAAAACACATTTTAATTCATCTCTTTGGTTCAGCATCATGTTTTTCTATAATTTCTCATGATTTCTTCCTTAACAACTGAATAGGTATGGAAAAGCTAAGCTGAACACATAGCTGCTTAGAAATGAGCGCTTGAAGTGTTAAAATAACAGAAACAGCATGAGTTTATGCTGTACATACAATACTAATTTCCCTATTTTAAAGTCCAGAATATATGTGTATATACACACACACGCACATACACAAACATTCACACACGAAATCACATCTATGTGGCTGGGATGTTTCATTATATAACAATATATCATTTTAGATGATTTGAGGAAAATTATTTAAAAAAATAAAAGACTGAACTCCATAAAAAGGACATCACCTGAAATCAAATATAACCTTGTTAACAAACTGTCACATTAGCAACATTTTTAGGGGTAGCAACATAACCCGTAACTCTAAGACATCAAATGCATTAAAAACAGGAAGTATTAAACTCTAATTCCTAATTTCAAGAAAGGCAAATCTAACATAATTTAAAAAATACATTATATGGAGATTCATCTGTAGAGGTCTACTTCTGAATCCCCAAAGTTACAGACTTGTACCTCAAACCCACACTGTTGAAAGAAAATTCTGAACCCAGTCCACATGGAATTTTGGTTGAAATATCCAATGTATTACACAGAAGAATTTCATCTTTTCCACAGAAGAGACAGCTTGTGTTAGAATGAGAATGCTTTATAGAAATGACCAATGACAAGCAGGCTATGTAAGCAGGCCTCTGATGCCTGGTGTTAACAAGAGACATAGAGTATTATTGTTGAAAGGAATCTTTGAGATTATAGAAAGAGCTGAGGTGTGAATAATCAAACAATATCCCCTTAACGCCTGAAGGAGAAGTCAGACAGCTAAGCAAATCATGGTTCCAGGAGTTGCACCGTGTATGCTCAGCACAGACGCAGGGAGGACATTTCTGTAGGAGAACAGAGGTAGAACTTGGCTTCAGTAACAGTTACCATGCTGAGGCACCACGGCACAAGACAGTAGCGGAAATGAACATGACAATGCGGATGGTGGGTGACAAGAGTCTTCCCTGGACACTGACATTTTTAAAGTGTAGAAGAAAATTGCAGGTCACTGAAACAAAGGCTGACCGTGCCCAGCACGTTACTCTTGAAATCAGAAGCAGAAGTTTGTGAGAGACAAGAAGGCAGAAAACAAACAAAAATGTAGAGTGGATCCCTAACTTGCAGGAGCTGCGCCCTGAGGCTTTGCAGGTTTTAGACACTCTCCCTACCCTACGTCTTTAAATATGTGTATGTTCAATCAGCAGGAGGAAGGGACTAGCAAGAGCCTTCTGTGGCAGACACCTGCATCAGATAATGGCACTGATCTCAGCGGGATTTTAAACAGCTGTGCATAAACTTCAAAAGTAATTTGCAACCAAATTAGTAAATGTCACCCTTCTTCCCTCTAGATACAGCATTTTTAAAAGAGATGAAGCATCCACAGTAAGCCTGCCATTTTACAAGAGTTACCAGAGGTATAAGTTAGGGAAAAAATGAAGATAATGATTCACAAGGTCGGGGTGTGGGGTGGGGGCCCCAGGGCCCCAGGAATAGGGCTTGTCTATCACACAGCCTCTGGCAGGAAAGGCCCAGTGGGGACCACGGCTTCTAGGGCGCAAACCAGGGGAAAAGAACAAGGAGTGGACCCACCAGGCTTCTTGCATCTCTCAAGGAGCCTCGAATCCGATGCTTTAGCATTTTCTTTGGCAAAAGAAAAGAACAAAGAGGCTGCAATTGGCAGAAAGCATGGGCGGACTCCCCAGATCTTGTAGGTGGTTCTTAAAAGAATTCAACAGGTTTGGGGTGTGCTGTCAGAGGGTAGCTGGAACGTCAAGGACTTGGACACCAGGCACAGGTAGTTTGTCCCCTCCACCCCCGCCGGACAGGGAGAGGGCACGGAGCGCTCTCTCGCCCCTCCACCTCCTCCAGCCTAGTCCCCCTCAGCCTGTGCCACTCCTGAATCATCTTTTATTTGCACCACGTCCACTCCGCACAGGGGCAGGACGGCCCAGGGAAGAGGCAGTTGCAGAAATGACCTCTCCTTGCAGAGATGACCAGAGTTTCCCAATCCAGCCAGTCTGGGGACTTGTCTTCATGCCCACGGGGAGCGCCCACGCCCGTGGCATTCAACAGTCAGTCTCCCAGGGATAACCGGGGCTTTCAAAAATCCGATACCACAAAGACATTTTATTGCACAAACTGCTTTGTTAACCTGGCCCTCAAAGCTGGGGAACAACCTCACTTGAGGCTACAGGAATGAGCACCCAGACATTGTGTGTGTGTGTGTCTTTCAAAGACCTGCCTCCCCCTCCCCCAGGCCCTTGACAAGAAACTTGGCTTGTTTAGAAGCCGAGCGATGGCAGCCCTGTCCGTGCTCCAATACATTCCCAGAAAACGGGGTATGCGCGCCCTGTGGACAGCATACCGTCTCTAGAAGACCTCTTTCCGCACACATTTTTGCCAAGAATATAAAAACTTTCCACCTTCTTCCGTCCCCGCAGGCCCCCTTTCGTTCAGGTGAGAGGAAAAGGGAGAAGGGAGGAGGCGCCCCCAGGCCGGCGGCCCCCACCCGGCCAAGGCCTTCAGTCTCCCGTGCGACCCGCGTCCCAGACACCCAGCGGGGAAAAGTGCCCCGGTGCGCCCTCGCGCCCGCTCGGTTCCATTTCCTACTCCGCCTGCTCCCCCCGCAACGCTCACCCCTTCCCGGAGGCGCCCAGAGGGGCCCGGGTGGCCCTTCCTGCAGTGGGTCTTGGCCGCTCCAGTCCGCTCCCCTCCGGCGGCGGCGGGGGACGCGGGGTCTTACCTGGAGCGAGTGCGGCGCGGCTGCTGCCGGGTGGCGCGGGGACTGGTGGGGCTGGCGGGGCTGGCGGGCTAGGAGCACTGCGGGTGCGCCCCGAAGGCGGTGTCGGCCAGGGGGCGCTCGCCACCCTCCCAGCCGGCCCGGCCTCCCGGGACCCGGGACCCCTGCCGGGGACACGAGCTCGATCCCCAACCTAGCGCCCCCGCGTCCTGGCTCCCACCCCCGGCCTCCTTACCGGCCACCTGTCGTCCGGCTGCGACCTGGAGCGGGGAAGCGGCAATCGGGAGCCCAGGACAGACCTGGGAGGGCGGCGAGGCCCAGCAGGAGCGCCCCGGCCCGGCCCCGGCCCCGGCTACATTCTCAGTGCCAGGAAAAGGGGCGAGAGGCCGCAGGTGCCCCTAGCCAAACTAAAAACGAAACGCTGCTCCAGCAGATTGGGTGGAAACAGCTGTGCCTGTTTTCTCTGTTTTTAGGCTGGAAAGGGCTTGTAAACATGGTTCCTTTTAAAATGACCTACCCAGGGAGGTTTGGGCACAGTTCTGTTCTGCGATCATCTTTTCCAGGGGGTCTCTGACTTGGGACTTCAATCTCCTGTATCTCCACATTGTCGTTTTATACACAATTGCCGAAGTTGAAGTTGAACTGCTTTCAACTTCCCCGTGCTTGAAACTGCGAAGGTGTTGTTTGCCAACGCGCGTGTCATTTTAGGACTTTTTATCCCTTGCAGGGAATATTAATGATGATAATCAATGATACAAACGAGGATAATTGGGGTGGTTTCTTTTTCCATACTCCATGGAACAAATTTAAAATTTTCATTCAGGTTAGAAAATTTTGTGTCTGGTTGCTAATACTCTTACTGGTTTCCTTGCAATGATGATACTAATTAAAATGTACTTGTTGAAGACTTTCGTTGCTGTTATGTACTAAGATCAGATTAATCCGAGAAATAAAACAGCATTTTTTTGTTCTTTTTTTCTTTCTTTCTTGTTTTGAGAGAGACATTAAAAAGGATAAAAGCCAGGCCAGGTGCAGCGGCTTATGCCTGTAATGCCAGCACTTTGGGAGGCTGAGGCAGGTGGATCACTTCAGATGACCTGAGACCATCCTAGCCATCAGGGAAAAACCCTGTCTCTCCTAAAAATGGAAACAAATTAGCTAGATGCTGTGACTCGCACCTGTAATCCTAGTTACTTAGGAGGCTGAGGCATGAGAATTCTTTGAACCTAGTAGGAGGAGGTTGCAGTAAGCCGAGATGGCACCATTGCACCCCAGTTTGGGTGACAGAGCAAGACTCTGTCTCAAAATAAATAAATAAATAAAAATAAAAATTTAAAAAAAGGTTTAACAAAAGCCAAATGTTGAATTAGCAGGCTTGTGATCATGGGAGTATAGATGTCAGCTAAAAAGGACCTCAGCAGATATCAAGATAGATGAAAAATAGCTGCAGAAGTGTTTCATGACTTGATTAAATCACTCAGGTCTGCACTGGGAAACCAGCTATAATGATGCCCCTAATCTATATGAACCCAATAAACCCAGCACGCGCGCGCACACACACACACACACACACACACACACACACACACACACACACACTCACACACACACACCCCTTTTAAGGATAAAACCATATTCTATTAAAATTAGCCCCACATTTGTCAATATCTAGCAGCATTGGACTGATCCTCAGGCCAGAGGCTGTAGCTTTTGGAAGATTCTAGCCAGGAGGTTTGAGAGTGGCCCGTATCTCAGAAGTGCTGGCTCACCCTGACATCACCAGACTCTGGCACATAGTAGGTGCTCATTGGGTATTTGCTATGGAAATTTGGCAGGAAAGTGCATCTATGTCTGGAAATAAGGAGGCAGAGCTGGAGCAGTAATCCCCACACAGATTCTCTCTGCAAACTACAAAACAGAAACTTCCCTAGTTCAGAGTGCCATCCACCTGGCTGTTTCTCTGATTATTTTTAATGGATCTTGTTGCACTGTGAAGAAGAAATGGCAAACTGATAACAGCTACTGTGCTTAAAAGATGGTGAATTCCTCACACTGCACATCTGGGTTTCTCATTGGCAATTAGGCAATAGAAGGAAGATCAGCTGCCCTGTTAATTTAATCAGGACAGTTAGTTAGTGGCTTTAGAAAAAGTTTCATATATACACCAGGTCTGATAAGGACTTTATCTTTTTCTTTTTGAGACAGGGTCTTGCTGTGTTGCCCAGGCTGGAGTGCAGTGGTTCGATCCTATTTCACTGCAGCCGTGACCCCCAGGACTCAAGTAGTACCCTCACCTCAGCCTCCCAAATAGCTGGGACTGCAGGCACGTACAACCATGCCCTAGCTAATATTTAATTTTTTTTGTTGTTGTTTTTTTTGTTTTAGACACAGGGTCTCACTAGTTGCCCAGTCTGGTCTCAAACTCCTGGCCTCAAGTGATGCTCCAAACTTAGCTTTCCAAAGTACTGGGATTATAGGGGTGAACTACCGTGTCCTGCCTGCGATGGCTTTGACACAATACTCATATAATATTCACAGTCTTACCTGTATCATCATCATCATCATCATCTTTCCTTAACAGATTAGAGTAATGAGGCTTAGAAAGGTTATGCACCTCGCTTAAGTTCCCACAATGAAGTACCAAAGCCAAGATTCAAACCCAAGCCAGGCTGGAGCTGCCCTCTCAAGAGCTACTGAATAATTAATTTTCCTTTTTTTTTTGAGACAGAGTCATGCCCTGCCGCCCAGGCTGGAGTGCAGTGGCACAATCTCGGCTCACTGCAACCTCCACCTTGTGGGTTCAGGTGATTCTTCCTGCCTCAGCCTCCTGAGTAGCTGGGATTACAGGCATGTGTCACCATGACCAGCTAATTTTTGTATTTTTAGTAGAGATAGGGTTTTATCATTTTGGCTAGGCTGGTCTCAAACTCCTGACCTCAGGTGATCCACTCACCTTGGCCTCCTAAAGTGCTGGGATTATAGGCATGAGCCACTGTGCCCGGCCAGTTCTCCATTCTTACATCATGCACTCAGCTTTCTCTTTCTTTAGCTTTTGGACAACTGGTCTTTGAGGACTTTTGGCTACTCAGTTGTCCTATAATCCTATAGTCCTATGATAGGAAACCTGTTAACCTGAAGACTGGATCTTTTAAAACAACATCCATTATATGTCTTAAAAATCGGGATTTTTTTTTAAATCTTAAAATTTCATATAAAACAAAAAATTCGCATCTTTTCTGGGTATCCATTAGATGCAGTGGACACCTCTGGATTTCCCTGATGCCAGCATCCTATAGACCCGGTGTCTCCATTCCCAGGCCACGGGGTGTTTCTGTTTTCTGTCAGACACCAACTCTGTTTTATAAACATGGCTGCTCTCAAAAGTTCTCCACACCTTTGTTTCCTGGAAGAGGAAATGGCATTTCCTGGAGGGGATGACACATGGGCTGTGAGGTTCCACGCATTACGTGAAACACACCCCAACGTTCAGCCATGTACTTTTCCTCTTTCAGGTTCTGCCCTGACAGTTCCCGGAATAATGCTGAGGACTACCTGTGGGGTAGCTGCTTCATTCAGTTCACTTCATCTGGGAAGACCTGAGCCCTGCCTTCGATCCAGCGGCCCTCCTGAGAGCTGAGAAGGAGCGACCCCTACGCGTCTGCTCCCTGGAGCTGCCACAACGCATCTTCCTGCGACTCGGAACTTGGAGAAAGGAACCCAGCACATCACTTTGCTTTTCTTCTGGACCTAGTTGGTAGTTATACTCTCTCTCCCATGGAGACCACCTCTTGCACCATCCTTTCTTCTATATGGAATTTAGGATAGAAATTAAAAAGATAACATCTTATTTCAAGCCTTGATTTGGAGGAGGATAGTATTTGGGGGGAAGTAGGCTATGGTACACATAGAAAATTTGAGGACAGTGTCACTTAACAAGGACATTTCTGTCTCTGCAGAAGTCATAGCTTGGAGGAAATGAGTTTGCACTGTCTGATGAGGAATTTGGCCACCAAATCACTGACACTTTCCCAAAGATTTGGCAGAAATTGTTTTTCAAGTAGCTCACCTGAGTCCCTAGAAGAATCAGCATGGAATTAGAGGACAGTGACCTACCCTAACCAAGGACTTAGGTGACATGTGATGCCTAGTGTCAATTTATCAGAAAATATCAAAACTATTCTGGGAGCTATGGGTCAAAGTTGATAGGCACAAACAAACAAACAAACACAATAGGTATTTTAAATTCACAGCTTGGAAAAGAAAAAGGGAGATGTTGTCGTTTCTCTTCTTCAATCCAACTTTAGATTTTCTAGTCAGAAAAAGGATAATTAGAAGTTAGAAATTGTTATTGCCAGAAAAGAGCTCTACACTCTGAAAAAAACAAAATAAAACAAAACAAAAAGCAACCTGGCCTTCCCTTTAAGGAGTAAATAAATCTCGATTACTATTGATAGTACAACTGATATCAACTCTTCTGAACAAGTGAGAGGTAAATGCAAGCCTTAGCTGGGTTAAGATTTGAAAAACATTTATAATATATATTTGAAAGTTCCATTATTTAAAATATTTACTAGACATGCTTTGTGATGTTAAGTTACTTTAAAAATTTTATACAAGGGAGGGAAAGTAGATATTATTTCTTCATTTAAGAAGGAGATATGTGTGGACATTAGCTAATATTTGTCATACATTTACTACCTGTGTTGAGGCATAGTGAAATAAAAACTTTATTTCAGATATTTAATTTGATTCTTACAATGAATCCCCTGAGATGGACAATATCCTCTTCATTTTACAAATGAAACAATTGAGACTTAGAGGTTAAACAAATGATTTTTTAACCTCATTCAGCCAATACATGTTAGAGAACAGCTCGACACCCTCAAATCCATGATTCCTGCCATCAGATTCACAGAAACAAGACAAGAGCTGAAATTATAGCCTGACTCTTCAAACAGTTAAAGAATTGTGTATGTTTATGAAAGTTCTGATTAATAAGATATTCTGAGGGCAAAAGACAAGGTGTGGATAGATTGGCAGTGTGCGGATTAGGATGTATCACAATGCTCACTTAATAATAAAACCACAGAAAATAAAAATTTAATCCTTAATGTATAGAACATTTAGAGTAGATTCTTTTTTTTCCTGAGTATCAATTACTATTACACTATAAAAGAATGGAATTGAACAATAAACAGTTCCTTTGGTATTTTTTTTTTTAAAGGTGAGAGTTATAAAAACAATATTTGCCTTCTGGTTTTAGTTACAGCTTCAGAAATTCTATGGGTACAATTTGTTTTAGTTATTTTGTTATCACTACCAATAAAGAGACTCTAATTGTAACATTAGCATCTAAATCAGATAGTGAATAATTACATTTTCAATGTTGTCTTGACATAGCTAGAAGTTAACAGGATACGCTTCTGGTGTGTTCTGGATTCTAAGGGTAGAACCAGCATGGAATTAGTCAGTCCAAGTATTCCTAAAGATCCACAGAGAGTTATCCTGGATGTGGGATGCCCAAAGATTTATTTTATTATTTTTTTAATTGCATTTTACGTTTTGGGGTACATGTGAAGAACATGCAATGAATATGACCAAGTGGGTATAAAATTTTGTCTGAAATTAAAGAGATATTGATTAGATAATCCACAGAGACCACTTTTTTGTGATTATCTTCTACCAGGGTAAAAGCAATAGCAACCTGAAAACCCAAAAAACCATACATTTTAATGGCAAGTCCTCCCCAGGAAGGATTAATAAATCTGAGAATTAATCTGCAAATCCAGGAGGAAGAAATCAAGATGAAACCTTCTATCATATTTATACATTTGATTGTTGCAATTTTATGGTTTGACATAGAGCAATAGCTTTCAATTTAAAAGGGACTTTACTTTCAAGTAAGTCACTTTATCTCTTTGGATTTGAAAGGCATGCTACTTTAGAGTAAGTCACTCAATCTCTTTTTTGAAAAGGGGAATGCCACACCTGACCCTCATCACTCCCTTCCCCTTTGTTCATAGCCTAGCTTTATTCTGCGCATGTGCACGCAAACACACACACACACACACACACACACACACACACACACAGTAGGAAGAGGATTTTTCATTTTACAGAACATATGTTAGGCTACACAGGATTTTCTATCAAGTTTCTTCCAGCTGTAAAATTCTGAGACTAAATATCAAATTAAAGAAAGCACTAATTGTCAGTGATGGGGAATGTAGTATACAGTCTGCTTCTACCAGCACTCACTGCTAATTTCATATATTCGCTGGCTTAAAAAAATTTCTAACACACTCAGAAAAGTCTATACTGGTGGTACCAGGAAAACACTGAAAATTGTTACTCTCCGTGTTGTGTCTAGGTTTCTTGGCTACATCATGACTTCGACCATTTACTTTTAAAGAAATACTTTTGTGGAACAAAAATGTAAAGATTTTTTTCTGTTGGTGGCTTAGTACAGTAGCCTAAGGTGGCTGAACATGTGTGCCTGTTGTGTGAGTCCCTTAGACGTGCTTTGTTTCTTGGTCACAGTTTATCCCTCAACTCAAGTGTCTCACCATCAAAATGTTTGTTTTGGGCCCCAAGTGGCAAACTTTGAGACTGATTATTTCTTTCAACTTGGATTGGCTCATCTGCTGTGAGTAGAGCCAAGCTGACATATTATTCTTTCCTTTCTCTTCTTTCTTTCCTTTTTGTCTGCCTATCACTAGGTAGAGGCAGCACATAAGAGAGGAAAGCCATGCTCATGGAGTCCAGCACATCATCCAGAAGGCGGATGTTCTATCTCTGTTTTGCTCATTAAAACAAATAAAACCGCACCTGGATTGCCTCGTACTTAAGTAAAATGGACTATGATGACTGAAGAAAAATCTCTTATATTTAAGGAATAATCTTAATAGATTACATTTTTATTTCTATTAGCTTACATTTCTATTTTTGATATTTGCATAATATTTAAAAATTTTTTAATGAACTAATCTTTTTATATCTCTTATGAGAACTTGATGGAGATACAATGTTTGAAGACACGTGGTATTTGAAATCAGAAAATGTGTTTATTTTTCTACACAGGTTACAAATGTCATGCATTATTTCACAAACTCTTCTCAAAGTGTTGGTTTTTAAGTTACTAAAAGGAAAGTATATTCATATCACATTCTGGAAGTTTTATAGGGAAGATTGAGTAGCTATAACCTCTAAAGTGCTTTGATCCCTATAAGCCTCAAGAAGAGAATGGTGCACTTTGAATTAATATCTATCCCTTATAGAGCATTTGTAGCATAGCATTTTCCATATATGATCTTATTAAACCCTCCAGCAATCCTATAATATGGGGATTATACACACGTTACAGATGAGAACCTGAGGCTTGGAGAAAGTAAGTAACTTCCACAAGACCACAAGGCAAGTCAGTGGCAGAGCCAGGATCAGAAACCAGGCAGGCTTCATTTGGAGCCATGCTGAACTCTGGCTAGAGAATTCTGGCCACCAACTGCAGAGCTAAAAGAAGGGGTCATAAACATGTAGATTTTGAGAAATGTCTGTTATTTTTCTTATAATAAAGGTTATGCATTCACACACACACACACACACACACAACAACTGGAAATTAGAGAAAACAAAAAAATTAGCTATAATGTCACCACCCAAAGACAGGTAATATTTCAGTATTTTCAAATATTCTTTTATCTTTTCTTTTTTGAATTATTGTATTTTAAAAATAACTTTTACTGGTTGCCTGATTATGAAGTAATAAATGTTCACCATAAATATTTTGAAAAATACATAATTGTCTATAAAAGAAAGTTGAAATCACTGCTAATCTCAAAATATAAAGATACCTGTCAACACTGGCATTTTACCTCCTTGTGACTGAGATCACATATCTTGAGACTGAAGCCCACATTTTCTATACCATACAGTTTATAGTTTAGGCCACAACATCAATTTTTAAAATTATTTCTTTGGTTTTTACTGGATTTGCTGATGTTTTATTTTTTAGAAAATTGCAGATGTGATTTTTAGGCAGCTGATTGGAATATTCTGGTTGCTCTGAATAGGACTAGGTGCTTTGCTTTTTACAGAAGGACAAATATTATTCCCACACACAGGAAAAAAACATCAAAGAATGAGTAATGATACTGTTTAAATCTTCCCTTATCACTCCAAAGAATGACTTTTCTTTCTTCCAAAGCAACTTTTAAAAGCGTTTCTACTGCACAGTGAAAGAAAACCACAAACTCCTTATTTAATAACTGGGATCATGTGCTTTTAACAAGAGGAAAAGGTCAAGACTGAAGCAATTGATATGGAGCTGTCATATTAGTTACATAAATTTAGGACTTACATACATTTGAGAGGGATGCAGAAATATGGATTGAAGTTTAATCACACTAAGAAAGTTTCTCTCGAGCAAAAGACATGATGTTTGTTCCCCAGAGCCTTTCTATCCTGTCCCTCGCCCTGCCAAGGGAACTAGAAAAGACATAAACATGTAAGAACCTAAAAGCCTTCTGGATAAAACTCAGCTTGGTGCAACACATTCTAGCTATCACAGCTTTACTCCCAGGCTTCCACCTTTCCTAGGAACGTAGTAAAAATCTGAGCTAACGAAACCAAACAATAAAAGAACTGAAAGTCTTTAAACCTGAGTTCTTGGGGTGGTAGTCTTTGTGCCCTCCATAGAGTCAAAGCCCTAAAAAGATTTGTAAAAAACAAAACGCTGGTACCTGTCTCTATTTCCCCAAACCTCTCTGCATGTACTTACCTTCTGAAGACTCACGCTTTCTCTTTTCCTTGTGATTGGGTTTGCATAGAATGAAGACCTCTCCCACAGTTCTCAGCTTAAATTCTTTTATTTCTTAGCTATGGAAGAAAATTCAAAAAATTCCATGCTCTACTTTGTAACTCCCTGGACATAGTGAATCCATTACGTACATCATGGGGAGGGAGTGGAGAAAGAGGAATTCTTATGTAAATTCATACAAGTTGGAAAAACCGTTTAGCAGTACCTACTAAAGCTGCACATATGCAAAACCAGTGACCCAGGCATGTCATGGGTACATAACCTACACAAATGTAGACATGGGTGCTAAAAGACATGTACCACATGTTCACTGCAGCCC